CCATAGAGCTGTAAGCAACCCGTCGTGGATGAAGTTGTCTTCGCAATGTTCGATGAATAACCCTGAGCATAAAGCAATGGAACAAGCATCTGTGCTTGGAATAGGGAATGCACGTTCTCTAGCAGCACTGTTTAATTTGGTACGTAAATTTTGCTCTAATGAATTATTCAAAACTTCTTCTTAACACAAAATCTCGAAATATATAAAATCGGAAATTTTGCAGTTTATTTTTTTATGTTCCGTAGAAAATTTACGACGAGTTATTCTTGATTTGCTGGCTATTCTTCGATTACTGACACCCCATTTTCAGCTCATCAACGGAAAGCTTGTTGGTGAGAAGACGTTAGCTATGTTAAAGCAGCCCGTGGTAAACGAAACCGACTACGTGACCCAGTTGCGTATGGTCTTTGGGCATGGCCTCATGTATCATCCATCTATCACGGGCGAGGTATGTAATTGATTGAGCACATTTACGAGATTGACATTATAGCTAAACTTGTGGAGGAGAAAATCTACTTCTGCATTACAATACAAACTTCGATTTCTAAAAATTTGCGAGATTAGCGCTTTATTTGTAGCACTTGGAACAGCTATATGCATAAGTTAAATACGATGATGTTTTAGTACCAAATTTGTGTAAGGCTATCTTGTCTGGTTTCTGAAAAACTCTGTCAACATAATCAATTTTATGAATGTCATTAGAGCCTAGAATTACGCTCAAATTGTCCTACGAGTTTTTATGCTAGGTTTGTATCGTAATACACCTCGAATTCATATGGTACGGTGTTAGAATAATGTTCGTTTATGGCTCTCTCCTTCACATCTTACCTCTTACAATAAACGCAATGTGCTTTCCACAATCCCTAACAATTTTATAGCGATGATGTATTCTCAGTCTAATGCGCTTACTGATATAAAGTACTCTCACTTCGTTACTAGCGGATGTTGGCAATTTCACTCGAAAAACTCTATAAAGTTTGGCGAAAAGTTACATTTCAAGGAGGGTTCTTACTTTTGAAAAATTCTAGACTCAATTTTCCTATTAAGTTGGATTTTACTTCGTTTAGGTCATCGAAAGGATGTTAGTAGGACAAAGGGGTGCTTTGATACTCCTACTTGTGGCAGTATATCTCGGATCGCACTAAAACTTTCTTAGTAGGCATTTTATCTGCTGG